AGTTCTAATGGAAAAGTATCAGTTTAATCGTAATAGGGATGGAATAAGAGTAAGGAAGAAACAGGTAAGAGAGTAAATTTTATGCAAAAGACAAGCGTGCAACTCAGGTAAGAGTAGTAAAGTACCTCTGGTCGGCAGGTCAAGAACAATGACATGGGTACCGCCAGGCCATCTTGAAGTAGGAGAAGAAACTGAGTGATTTTTAGTCGGTAAGACTATGGACACATCCGTTTTTGGGCATGACTGGTATTCAGTACAAAACATACCTACATGCGTTTATATTTTATAACTCCTTCTTTTTTTTGGTAATTCCTGCAAAATAAACAGATAAAGATCTTCTTAACATTTTGACAGCAGCGTGGCGGGAAATCGTCGAGAAACGACTTCCCAGGACCATTCTACGAATGTCACGAAACGTGAAAATTAAATCAATGCTTTACGTTTATTTGATCGGCACAAAACTGCACTTTGTCGCGCCGACGACCGCTCGATTCCAATTAATCAATTACCATAACAAATACGTGCGCGGCGGCCATTTTAAGTGCGCCATCTTATGTTGAACTGTCAATTTTGGCGCGTTTTTTTTTATTAACGGAGAGATAATGGTTTCGTTTGCTTAAAAATGATTGAGATTTTTTTTGTTTAATTTTAATAGGTTAGTATTATCAGAGTATGTCTATTTGGGGTATTAGATAAATGGGTTTGTGTAAAGAGAGTTCAACATTGCAACAAAACTTTATTTGTTATTGTTTAAAATAAAACAGAAAGTGAAAATTCAAACGACAGAAGAATCCTTCAATTGAAATCAACGAGTTAAATCTTGTCATAATACTCTCGACTTTCCACCAAGCAAATTAATCACAACATAATTTTGCAACCTAAAGCTCATTGTAAACTGGTCATATTTACTCTGTGGCAAAAACACAATAACCATAGACAATGAAGACTATACTTTTTCACGTCCAAGGCAAAGGGCATAAGGTTGTTATTCCACAGCTGTCATTTGTTTGACGTTGCATGTAAGTTTGTATGTGCATCAAAGACGGATGCTATCAGACGTACGCGAGGAAAATACTAAGGAGATTGGTAGCCCTTTTTAAATGGTTTTATTCTGTACGAACGTTTTGTACTTTGGAATCATTAATTTCTTGTTTAAGTTTCCTGTAGTGATTATATTTTATATTAGTTGATTCAAAGTATATTGACAAAAGTTAATGATAAGAAGAAAATAGTTTTCTCAAGTTTTATTTTCAATTTTCTTTTCTTACAATAAGTTTCCTGTAGTGATTTTATTTTATTTGAGTTGATTCAAAGTATGTTGACAAAAGTTAGTGATAAGAAGAAAATATTTTTTTCAATATTTTTTTATTATTTTTTTCTTCATACAAACCTTCTCTGTGTTTCCACGAATAATACAAGACCAAAATTAGCCAAATCGGTAAAGGAATTGTTGAGTTATAACATTACAACGAAAAGTAACATTGATTTTTATATAAATATACTAATATTATAAAGAGGTAAAATTTGAAAGTTTGTATAAGTATAGGGGTGTAGTAATCTTTGGAACCACTGGTCGGATTTCCAAACTTCTTTCACTAATTGATAGCTACAATATTCCTGAGTGCTATAAGCTATCAAACATCACCCTAAGACCAATAGGAGTCGAGCAGCGGGTGAAACTGCGCGGTAGTAGCTGGTGATACAATATAAACTTATCATACTTGATTACTTATTTTTCCGTACAAATGTAGCGACATCTATCGCACAACAATAACAACAGCACCAATCACGTGCAAGATTCTACATCGCGGTATAAGAGTTCTCGACGCAATTAGAACCGATACAAAAATCCCGACAACAACAGTCGGGCAGTAGCCCACCAGACATAACACCCGTCTGGTTGGAGGATCCTCCCTTTTCAATGAAGGATGAGGAACTTGCCACCCTGTTCTCTCATTCCTCTAAACTGCAATAGGTTCTAGTTCGTCAGACATATTTGCTACTCGGTTTCCGCGACTAAGGTCCGGCTATCTTATATTCTTACCTAAATTAGTCAAGTTTTACAAAATCTTAAAGTAAAGAGCGTAGGTACCTACTGCTCTTTAAATGGGCCTTAACGCAGTCTTGACTCCTTAGGTGCGGCGAGTGTCCATGGGCGGCTCTGGTTGCTTACCATCAAATAATCAATCAGTTTGCTGTTGCAAAGTTTCATTGAAAAATATGAAATACCCTTTTAATGGTACCCTTTGTAATGGTAAGTAAAAATCCTGTAATCCTGTATCCTACCAGATCATCATATAACTGCACGGTTGGTGCGGTGGCTGGGCAACTGGCTGCCGTGCAACGTGTCGCGGGTTCGATTACCGCACGGAACAACACTTTGTGTGATCCACAAATTGTTGTTTCGGGTCTGGGTGTCATGTGTATGTGACATTGTATGTTTGTAAACGCACACACAACACAGTAGAAAATCCTAAAAGTGGGGCAGCGTTTCTTATAAAAAAAAAATAAACATAATCTATCTCTATGCCAAATTTTATCCAGATCTGTTCAGATGTTTTTACGTGAAAGAGTAACAAACATATGGGTATTTGTTACTCCTTACCTTACTTACAAACTTTCGCCCTTTTTATAATATTAGTAGGATGTCCATTCGAATCAACTATCGACATGCATTTGTTTACAGTAGCAACCTATAAAGTTTATCGCACGCGACGATCGAGGCAATGATTGAAATATTAATTGTGTTTCTTTTTTTGAGTACTTTCTTCAGCCTGCTTGCGGATCAAATCTATCCGGAGTCAAGAAAGCATTTTTTGTGATACCTAAGTCCTCAAAGGAGGCCGGGGTTGCAGGTTAAGCGCAATGAGTCACCGCGGCCTCGGCTCAGAGCAGGAGAAGGAACGGAGGGGGTAGTCAGTAAGATTCTGACACTCTCTCTCGTCTAATCCTGGGCGGGAGAAGTCATGTGATGATTTTCCCCTGACAAAAAAAAGGTCGTCAAACGAACAATTGGATTAACCGATAGTAAGCAATCAGCGCCGCCCATGGACACCGGCAACACCAAAAAGAGTTACAAGTGCGTTTTCGGCCTTTTGGGGATAAGGGATAAGGTATTGGACAAAGTCGTATTCTAAAATATATGGAAAAACTTTTATGAACAATTTTGGTAACGTGATATGAAATAACGATTACTGTTTTTTTAGATATCAGAAGGCAAACCAGAAGGCGCGTCACCTGATGGTAAGCGATTAGCGTCGTCCATGGACATCTGCAACACCAGAGGAGTCTGTCACTCCTCTGGTGTTGCAGATTGCGTTGCCATTTAGGAAGGAGTATACTCGTTGCTTGAAGCCCTAAAAGTCCTATCGGTTCGGAAATACCATTCTAATAAAGATCATTCTAAAGTATTGCTATGCGAGGCAGAAAGTTTCGCGAAAATCGCACAGTTCTTGACTGCTTGATGATTTTATTTAGAAAAATATGAAAAAAAAAATGTTTTTTCTTATATGAAAAAACGTTGCCTTACACTAGGATTTTTTCCTGTGTCGTGACCAGACTTGGAAAAACAATTTATGGATCACACAAAGAGTGGTTGCGAGCGTGAAACCGAACCCGCAACACGTTGGGCATCCACCGCGCCAACCAGTCAAAACCGAAAGCTGAACATCGATCTCAGTGGCGTGCAATGCCCAGCAGTGGACGGAATCAGGCTAAAGGAAGGAATAATAGAAAATGATTATCTATATCTATACTAATATTATAAAGAGGTAAAATTTGTAAGTTTGTATGTAGGGGGTAATCTTTGGAACCGCTGGTCGGACTGCCAACATTCTTTCACTGATAGATAGCTACAATATTCCTGAGTGCTATAGGCTATAAAACGCTACAATTAAATGGAACCGAGCAGAGGGTGAAACCGCGCGAGAGTAGCTAGTACACTACATAACCGTCAAAATAAGCAGTCAGGATGAACAAGTAAGTACATTTTACTGTAAGCAAGCTGGTCTGCAAGTACCAACCTAGGAGGACAATGAAAAAAAATCGTGAACCTATTAATAGATAATCGAAAAATCCAACACGACCGATTTCCCGGCTATAATGCGAACCAATCAAAACGCAACTCACGCGCACTCGTCGATTATTCACAATATTCACAGAACGCATGATCGGCGGCGCTGTAAAGAAATTAAAAAGAAATAGGGCCATAGACAACACCGCTTTGTCTATGGCGGCGTCACAAAGAAGGTCCGTTGCAACACAGAATTTTAAACGAATTTGATTAGTTTATTACACGTGACAAGATGGCCGCTTTTGATTATTTAAAACAGTAATTGTTTGAATTTTAAGTAAATTGGGCGTTGCGTTGATAATATTTAATTAAGTGCTACTGGATTGCCTATTGAAGGACAATAAGGAAGAAAGTATTTAGGCATTCCTTTCATATATGACCGCCTCGGCGCCTTGTGTGTCCTATAACTTACAAGGCTTACACCTTCATAAAATAAAAAGGGCCTTTTATAGGTAAAAGTAGTGTCTTGCTCATAAAAATTCAAACGATACATCCTTTTTCTATTGACTAAATTGTTTGCTTACCGTTTGCACCAATCAATGGCTTGTCTCTGCATCATCTAAGGGCTCGACTTTAAAGATAAAGAATAATCTATAATATAAAAATGTATCGCAAAATATGTTGTTAAGCGCATAACTCAAAAACGTCTGGACCAATTTCGCTAATTCTTTTTTTGTTGAATTTGTTATTGTCAGGAAAAAGTTCTTATGAAAGATGATTCTAGAAAAGTAGAGGGGAAATCGTGAAATTGCAATCGGTTACCCGTGCGAAGCAGGGGCGAACGGCTAGTAAATAAATAATTCACAAACACGTCATACTAAGACCTTTTTTTTGTCAGGGTAAAATCATTCAATGACTTCTCCCGCCCAGGGAGGGAGTGTCAGACTCTTACTGACTAAAAAGTAAAAACCCTCTCCTGTTCCTTCTCCTATTCTGGGCCGTAGTCGTGGTGCCTCATTGCGCTTACCCCGGCTGTCATACTTAGACCTGGAACAAACAAATGAACAAGCATTTGTTAAGTCAATAGACTTACTTCTCCCGCCTAGGGTGAAGCGAGAGGGAGTGTTAGACTCTTACTGATTATCCTCCCTGTTCTCCTCTCCTGCTCCGAACTGGACCGCACCACATGATTGCGATTGCACCCGCAATCCCGGCTGATCATCGGCCTTAGAGGTCGTCTGACGCCTCTTTGAAGCGCGGGGAAGCTGACTACTTGTCTGGTTCTAGTCGAACGGCCTAACTTGCTCATCATCATCAGCCTATAAGTGCCCACTGCTGAGCAAAGGCCTCTTCTAACACGGAGAAGGTTAGAGCATTAATCACCACGCTTGCTCAATGCGGGTTGGTGATTTCAAACTTATAATTAGAAATTATAAGTCCAGGTTTCCTCACGATGTTTACCTTCACCGTATGTCAGTGGTGTCTAAATAATCATAGAAAGTACATTATAACTCGGAAAAAGTCACATTGGTACTTGCCAGGTTTTGGACCCATATCCTCATCCATTAGAAGCGGGCTCCTTAACCTCCGGGCTACCACCACATTACTTACCATTTGCACCATTGCTCACCGTCCGCAAACCCACGGTTGTAAAACGTTGTCAGAGAATAGTGATGCCTGACGTCCGGAGTGGAGCGGCATGAGTAATATTGTTACCTAACGCGCTCGGCTTCCTCCTTAGCTAGCAAGACAGCCTCGCAGAAGGAGGAGCCTTTCAGTTCCTCTCGTAACACACCATAGCCTGAAGCAAGACTGGACGTGAGAGGTTGCAGCCGCCGATCACTTGCCTGATAACAAGACCAATTGTATAAACTTTTTGCTTCTCACAAAAATTCCTTTCCAAAGACATAGACATGTTTTTTGTAGGGTCTGAGAAATAGCCGTCGTTTAATAGCTAGTTATAAACAGGTTTTCAATTTTTATCGCAATAGGTAACACCGAGTTATTATGATGTTAGGAATAAAAAAACCCGATATATTGGTAAACGTTCAAAAATGGTCATTCTATTCTTTGCAAAATGTATCTAACTCTAAAACATCAATCAATAAAGATTTAGAATCGCTCGGTACGGTAGCGGTCGGTACTCAAACCAACTTTATAGTCGAGTAAGTACGTTATTGGATACCGATCCGCTCTTAATGTGTTGACAGAAAATGCAGATTAGGACCATTATAACAATGGGATGCCCATTCCACATTACATATTCAATAATCCTATTTCAATATCCATTCTGAACACGTATTTTCCCGGCGCCATTGTTTTTTCAACAAAATTTCTTAGATATCCTCCTTTAATCCCGGCGGATTTTACAAAAAAATGTGTTACAATATCTTTTTAATATTAATTTTTATAAAAAACTAATATGGCGCCTTTGCCGCCAACGGAGCTGTCAAAAAAATCGAACAATACAGTTTATGTCAAAAAAGGTTGTGTTATGATTTATTTTGTCTATGGTTTCGGTGTTTAGTATGCGTAAAGGGTTAAAGATGGCGCCAAACAATTTTTTTGATATCATGTTACAACATTATTAAATATATGAAAGTCGTGAGAATTATCGAAACGAGTTTGAAGAAGCATTAATATTAGGTACCTCTTAATTCAAGTAGCCCGAAAAAATCCACCATATGACATCGGAATTTTACAGGAAATCTTTTACTAAAAATTCATACTTGCGGCCAGTCAAGTCGACAATGAAAACCCAATAATTTGGAGAACGATTACTTGTAGAATAAGTGGTTGGTCGACCAAGGTACCGCTGCAAAGATGTGTTTCGTGTGAGTGAGGTTACCAGAGTCCCAATAATTCCCCCCGATCCTCAATCCTCAAATCCCCTACCTTGAAATCCCGTTGTTATACCCACAAGGGCTCGACAATGCACATTCATGTAATAACTCCTTTGGTATTACGAGTGGCCATGGGCGCCGCTGTTTGTTCACATTAGGTAATCCATCTGGCCCTTAGCCGACGACGACATAAAAAAAATTGTTATTTATATCAATGAGAAATCAAAGTAGCCCAAGGTACAAATAGGTCATTAAGACTATGGATTACCTAAATAAGTAGGACAGGAATCAAATCCTATAAGGAACAAAATAATCCTATAAATAAATAAATATTACTCTCAAGTGACGTATTATTTCGCTACGGATCTCGTCGGCTGTCGCGGGGGGAAACAGGGATATGAATTTTATGCACCGTCTGATCTGTCGGGGTAGTGATGTTTTCGTATCGATGGAGTATGGATGTCGATAGATTGTAAAAAATATATGTTTCTTTATCATCATCATTATATGGGGTATAAGACCTCCAATACAAAATTTACAGGGAATAAAAACTTACTCATGTGAATAAACTAGTAGAAAAGCTCGCTCAGTTGACCACGCGACGTCGCTGCGACACGAACGCTGCACGTCGATTCTATATTTGTTTGAATTTGAATCGTGTTCGAGTGCGAAGTGAGCGTCGAAGTGACGGGGAAATTAAATTTTAGAATGCCACTTTTAACGTCATCTTGTACTTTATCCATCAAAATGTTGCTGTCAATTTAGTTCAACTCGCAAGTGTAGCGCTAGTGTACTACTACTCACAGCGGATTCAGATTCGAATCTTACAGAATCACACTGCTGCTCATGGATTGTGACTTGCAACTATTAGAGCTTTTCGCAGTTAAAACACGTGAGTAAATAGTTATTTTCAGTAAATTAGTAGATATGTCTCAGGATATTTACTATTAAAAAAACTTTCAATATTGTACAATATAAAGCTTACCCCAGTGACTTCCAAATCGCCTGGTTGGAAGGCGGTCTCTTGTTTTATTTTAACCTTTTATTCGTGGTAATTCGAAATACAATATTTACTTGGGGTTTGGTGAATTAATTTCTGCATTAGTGGGCTCTTTGGTGTTGTTTTTGATCCCTTGAAAAAAAAAGGAAAGAAGAGAATGTTTTTCTGTGACTGCTACGTATTGACATGCAGGGAGTTGTTGTCATACCGGTTGGCTTTTCATATGTAGAAAGGGTAGATATTTATTGCGATTTTCTAATTATTATTTTTTTTCAATAAAGTCACGACTCAGAACTGGTATACTCGTGGTATAATAATGAGTTTGGCCCAATTTTTGTACAACGTAACGTATTTTTTTTTTGTAAAGTATTATTATTTCTTTAATGCTGAGTATAATTTGATTGGACTTCAGAATTTCTCTATGTTTAATATCTTTGTATATTTTCATCAGTTCTTTATATCTATACCTATTCAATAAAATAATAGTACACTATGGTACAAGTGTGTAAAGTTGGTGATTACCTCAGAGGCGCATTGATCCGTCAGGCGAGGATCTTAAGGTGTCGAGGCCAGTAATCATCAATACACACGTGTGTCATACGACGTTTTTCAACACACTTCTGAATAAAATAAATATAAATAATTGCTGTGGGATTAGAGCCACTTTATGAAGAAGTATGTTGTAAAATTTAAGAAACTGCAAGGTGAGCTGGGCAGGCGGTTGAAAAACTCAATGATGTGCAACGTGTCGCGAGTTTGACCGGACGGAATTATTAAACGTTTTTTTTTTTTATATTCTATTCCGTGATCCACAAACGTTTGATCTGGAGCACAGCCGTGTATGTAAAATTCAATGTTTGTAAACGAACCTACGAACAAGGGAACAAACCAAAACGACACCTTTTTTTCTACACGTTTAAAAAAATAAAAACTATCGACAACAGCCCCATCCCTATTCTAGAGGGGATATCGTTTACACAATTGGGAATCTGCATAACAAGTAAGACATGAAAATTGATTTAAACGCCGCGCGCCGTCGCCCGCCATGCTTTGAGAGTAGGGGTGAATGCAGGGGGGGATGTGGTTGTCCGTTTTGTATTACTGCGTTATGATTATGGGTAATGGATTTGGCAAAGAGGAAGGAAAGCGTTTAGTTATCTGCTGTGTTTGTGCTAATGTTATCATTAACTAGTAATATATGAATTTACGGTTGCCTACCAAATATTTTCAATAATAGCAGTTTTAATAAAAGCATAAAGCGGTAATTGATCGTTTATTTTTATGTCTCAAAATAGTCACTATTTAAAAATGGTAATATTTTTTGTTTAATTAAATTAGCTAGGAGTCAGGTTTGTCTTTCAGCTCTGTTCTTCGGAAAGCGCGTAAAACCGTTGGTCTTCTTTCCGGTCGTGCCGGTCTACCATCCCAAAGGTACATTAGACCACCAGACAAAGGGCAGAATAGCCCTAAATATCAGATAACCGCAATAATGTACCGAAGGGAAAGTAATATAGGGTGGTTTTTAGTCAGTTAGCCTGACCCTCCCTCTTGCACAGGGTTGAAGAAGAAATCGAATGCAGGCACTTCAGCTTAATAATCCGCTACGTAGTGTTCCGCGCGCGCCTCAAATAGCCAATAGACCACCACAGACGGGGTCCTATAGGGCTGATGTTGAGCTGGGGTTGCGGACAGGAGAAGGAACGGGGTCTTTTTAGTCAGTGTAGTTTAGTAATGGTCTGACACTCTCTCTCGTCTTTCCCTGGGCGGGTGAAGTCATTTGAGGGTTAGGCCAGTCTCAAATTCTGTCTCCTACATAAAATTTTACGAGGGAAGTGGAAACTATTTCGTTTTTTCCTTCATCTCAAATAATATCTTCTGATTTATTTGGTTGCGGGATCAAATACAGTCATTCATGTCCCTGAGACGCGCCGGACTTCAGTGATCGAGAGTTTTCATGGTTGTATTTACTGTAGATCCTGGTGCACAAGAGTGCAGCGGTTTTGGGAGGTTGCGGCGGATTTGTCCCAAAAAAAGTATAACCACTATCAAGTCCCCCAGAAGCCGTTTATATTGACAAATAGAAAGGGGGCGTGGTCCAATACATTAGGGTTGTAATAGCTGTGCCATAGAGTACAAAGGACTTAAGTTCTGAGTAGTGGTGGCTCGGAGGTATATTTTTCTAAAAGTCTCTCTTCAAGCATGAGGTGGGATGTCTGAAACCTGGCTATCCCCAATATGACGTTATAAAATACTAGATCAGTTTATTAATACGTCGATCAATGAGTATACAGATTACCTGATGGTGAGCCCGCCTATGGCCACCCAGAACACCAGAGGAGTTGCAAGTGCGTTGCCGGCATTTTGGAGATTTGGGTTTCAAAGATTTAGGAATTGGGGATTGGAGATGGCGAAGGATTAGGCCTTATTTAAAAGCCGATACACAACGCAGCCGAAACGCAATCAGCGCCGCCCGTAGACACATAGACACCCGCAACACCAGAGGAGTTGCAAGTGCGTTGCCGGCATTTTGGTGATTTGGGTTTCAAAGATTTAGGAATTGGGGAAGGATTGGGCCTCTCTCACACGACGAAACACAACGCAGTGGTAGTTTCACGTGGGTTTTCTGTAAGGCCGTGGTATCACTTCGGTGGAACCGACCCATTCATTCCTAAGCAATGCTCTCCCACACTTAAATCTGCAGAGGTTAAATAACACCAAACGCCTTTTCCAGTCGTCCCTTCGCCAATAAAATTAGCAACAAAAAAAAAAATTAAAGAAGGCGTTACTAAAGTTTAATCGTCACAATGGCTAAACATCAATTTGACAGCAGTAATCACTTGACAGTTGACAGTTTTTTTGAAACGTCACCCTCAAAATGGCTGCCGACACAATTGATAAGGTCACAATGAACGAATTAGGGGATTACGCCCTTTCAAAGTTGTATTATTACTGTAGTTTTAGGGTTTAATAACAAAATAGTTTTTGTAATTGATATTTTATTCGT